CGAATTCAAAAATATAGTCATTTCTTGGGTTTCTTGCGCTTCCTTCCAGTTCCCCCAGCCCTGCCCATGCGGGCATGCTCAAGGGGTTGGAGCTCCAAAGATTTAGATCTCTCATATTGTCGTCGAAAAGCCTTGGCTTTGGCGTTAGTTGCCAATTGAAATTCAGCCAGTACAGCAAGACCCTCATTAATGTAGATTCTTGCGGTCTTTGCCGCCTGCCACCTACCTGCTATGAGCAGTTTGTCTAGGGACCCGTGTTTTGCAAAATAGGAGGTGGCGCCTCCCCTTCGCAAGCTGTAGGGCCTGAAAGAGTGTTCACTGAGCCCAGTGGCCTCTAGGTATTCAGTAAATTTCTTTCTCCAGACATGAGCCGCCTCGCATAGTGAAGGTCGAGAACTAGGGGTATTCTTCCACTGCCAGAGTCGTCGCAGGGTATCCTCTTCCCGAATGGTCACGCTTTCAGCAGCGCCTTGACGACGACCACCTTTCGTCATTCCCAGGGAAATGACCGCGACACTCCTCGGGCCTCTCTGCTCTATGTGGCTCTTTTTAACTCCCAACAACTCCCCTGTCCGCAGGAGTCCATGGAAACCAAGTAACAGAGAAAGAGCAAACAAGTCGTCCTTCTTGAACAGGCTGTAGCCGACCAGGATATCTAAGGCTTCTGTGGGCAGGGGTGGAGCTCGACTTGGAATCTCGGTGGAGGACCAGGTCTTCATCAACCTCCAGGAGGATGGCAACCTCCCCTTGACTGAGGGTTTGTAGTCTTGAACTGCTGCTATGGAGTCACAAGCAAGGGCACGGCCTTCTCCACTTTCCCAAAGGAATTCTATGTAGTGACTAAGCCAGAAGTCAAGCGTGGGAGGGTCATCTGGGAATCTACGACTTTCTTCACGGAGGTAGGTACGGAATTTCTCAAGCGCTTTGTCATATCGTGCTCTGGTGGCTGGCTGGACAGCCAAATTGCGTAGCGGCCCCAATGCTCGTCGCTGCTGCTGCCGTATGTATGTGTACTTTGCTGTGGCTCACCATTTCTTCTTAACTGGGTGCCTCGACGGCCCATCGGCCGGGTTTTCCTTCGTGTGAACATACGCCCACACGCCGTGTGAGCCACTGGCAAGGAGCAAAGCATTTATCCGACTCATAGTGCGACGAAGTTTGCGGCTGCTGCTGCGGCCTCTCGACAAGGAGTGGAGGCACACCAAACTATCCACCATATGCACGAATTTTGTGCGTAGAGACTTCTTCTTCACGATCCTCCAGCGAAGCGAAGTAAGAACGGCCCGCATCTCCAAGACATTGATGTGTTCCGGAGAGCCTTTCCATGTCCACCCCATAACCGTCTTCCACTGCCACAAGCTGGATGGTAAGCTCGCTCGCAACCTATGGTAACGGAGAGTCTCTTCACTCGGCGCTTGAATCATGATGTCTTCGCCCTTCAGGCTGACCAGGTTCAGGAGTTTTGAGACCAGCTCGTACTCCCCTTCTGTACCTGCCTTCTTGATTCGCTTCATGGCCTGACGTTGCAACATCCCTCCTAAGGTGGTTGCGGCACCAGGTTTTGTGGCCTCGACCGCTTCTTGTGGGCTTTTGGAGGGGCATAGGCCGAGTTGCTGGCCTAGTTGGGCGAGCAACCAAACCACGACTGTCACATTCCAACTGTTGCCAATCAAGCTCTTCCTCTCATCCTCATGTGCCTCACTTCCATGATGTTGCTTCGACATACATTGTACAGTATAATCCCGAGGAAACCCCATGATTGCTTCTCTCTCACGAACTGACGGAATTCGGCATCTGCCATTGCCTTCCTTCACCAGCAAGCGATGAGCATATTGGTATGGGGGAAAGCGGAATTTGTCTGCCTCCCATGATTCCTTCTCTTCTGGGCTGAGCTTCTCCAAACCAGCTGGTCGACGACCGGGATGAGTCCTTGGCCTTGCTGTTGTAAAAGTAGGAAACGGCTCCTCAGAGACTTTCACGCAACCTGCTGACAGGAAGTCCTTTGGGTCAACCTCCGCTGCGAGTTCAACTTCCTGAAAGGCCGCCATCCCCTGATCAACTTTAGGATGCATGCGAACCCCAGGTCCCGGCCTCAATTCCCAATCCAACCAGTACAGTCGGGGTCGACGGGCTAGTGAAACACCACTGGCCTCAATCTTCACTGGAGTGTCACCGAAATCCTGCGACATGACTTCACGGTCCTTTCGGTCCATTGAGGCCACACTCTCTGCTAGGTACCTGACCTGCGCCCAAGGAAAATGTATCCTAAGCAGCTCTTTGATGCGTCGGACGTGGCTGAACAGACAGCTCCGGTGATCTCGCAAGGCACCACGTCGCTCACTGTTCAAACCACTCACACCTTGACAAGGAGGTCCAGCTCCCAGTAAAACGAGCGATGCTTGTGAGAACTTCGCCGCCCAGCGCCTGACCATCTCTTCGTCAACTGCCTCCACTCCTCCTTCAATGAACTCTGTCGCCGGGAACTTGCTCTCGAGAACGCGGCTTGCCTCCTTCTTTACCTCGACACTGATGTGACCCAGGACGGGGAATCCGCAAGCATCCGCTGCAACTCGCAATGCTCCGATCCCATCAAACAGACCAATCGTGAGGACCGAACACACATCAGATGGCTCTGCGACATCCCCTCGAACGCTTGCCCGTGATGCCGCCTCTCCGAATCCTGTCAGACCAACACTTCGAGTCAAGCCCCCGCCTGTGGTAGAAGCATCACTGGCTGTGACCTCTGAGCTCACCTCCAACCTGAAGTCCATCTGCGCCAGCGGAACCAAGGCAACAAACCTCGCAATCTCCAGCTTCACCTCCTGGGGTATTTCTAGCTTGATCACCGGCGGGTAGTGCTTGAACTCCTCGATGAATCGCCACACCGCGTTCAGGGAACCCAAGAGAGGCCTTCGGAACATGCTCATGTATACAAGGCCTCCGGCAACCACTTGGACCTGCTTTTGACTGCACCTCTTCTCCCCCAAAAGGAGACTGGCGAGCTGAGCGTACTTGAGCACCTTGAGAGGTTTGGGATAGGCAATCCCCCTCACTCCATCAATAATAGCACCCTGTACCTCGGCCTTCAACGATCGTGCAACGCCTTTCTTTGGATGGCGAGGGACAAACACTCGGCTCCCCTCTTAGGAGTTCGGCGGTGCGCTTGTCCATCTTCTCCAGTGAGTCGAAATTGTCCAAGTATACCCTATGCAGTGTGGTAGCAGAAGAAAAAGGTCGATCCTTTCGCACCTCTTGTTCTGGCTTGAGCCCCCCCCCAATTTGCTCCCCAGCTCGTCTCACCATGGCCCTGTGAACATGTTGGGCCAAGCTCACGCTGTTCTTAAAGCCCATCGGTAGCACTTGCGAAGCTAAATAGTAGGGGCCATCATCGTCCGGCCACATTTCACGTGGGATGGGTTTGTTGAATCCAAGAAAACCTGACCACTCACGAGGAACCTGGAAAATATAAAAGAAACAGCGCACGTCTTCGGAGGATATCACTAAATCTTCACTGGGCATCAATTGTAGAGGGCTCATAGTAGCCCAAGTGGGAAGTGTGGCTACGTCGCCTTCGATGCCACGGCATACCATGTTGGCTGGCCGAAGATCCATGATCAGGCGGTGAACCTGATGACCCTCACGCACCTCCCCTTTCGCCACGCCAAATAGTCCGTTTAGGAGGGGGCGTCCGTCAACGTGATGGAGTTCCTTCTCTTTCAACGGGATGCACACTCCCTTCCCCAACAAACCCTCGCAGACTCGCGGCCAAGCCTCATCACTGATCATGATTCGCGGCGGCTTCATAGGCTTTTGCAACTCCTCGGGAAGAACATAGGACTTGAAGTTCAACACGTAATGACGGCAACCCAGATCAACCACTTTAGCCAAGGGGACCGAGGCAATCTCCGAGGGCATTGCGGGTGCGAGGTTTTCCCAGGTGGTATACTGAGCGCAAAGGACCTCCTCCCCACAGTAGTCGATGGTCTTTACCTGGAGAAAATCATGCCATGTTGTCTCCTCAAACCTTTCTTCCCATTCCAAAATTGCCCTCGTCTGACCTTCCAAGAACCTCAGGACCCCGACCTGCAGAGGGATCGGGGGAAATGCGCTCTCCAGTTCAACCCCATACAGGCTATTCAACGACATGCACATGCCCCTCATCACCATAGAGGCTTCTTCAGAGATCTGTAGGAGGATAGGCCGTATGGCCCCGGGTGCTCTGACTACAGCAGGGTGCAAGGAGATGGCGAACAACCTCCTCAGTTCCACAGGAGGGATCTGGGATCAGGCCGAAGGGCCGCTTCAGCCCATCTGCTGCCAGTATTTCAGGCAGGTTCTCAGCACCCGGTTGACAGGTGGCCAATCCCGCGAGGCATTGACGTTGAGCTGGTGTCTAGACCTGTTGATGCAAGCTCGGATAGCAGAGGCTGCAGATGGCCTAATGCAACGGCTGAAGGCCATAGAGATGTGTTCGCAGGGTGCCAGCTGGTCAGTGTCGCAGAAGATCGAACTAGTCCCCTTGGAAAAGCCGATCATTTCAAGCCGCACGGAGGCCCGAGAGGCCATCAAAGAATCCAAGGAGGAGAACCGCACCAGAGCGGAAGCAAGCAAGGGGAAGAACAAAGGCGACTGGTCAAGCAGCTGGCGAGACACGCCTTGGCATCCAGAGTAAGGAAAGCACAAGGAGGGCAAAGGAAAGGGCAAAAAAGGCAAAGACAAAGAACAGAAGAAGCAGGATTCGTGAGGCCATATGAGGATCCTGCGGAGAGCCCGACGTGCGACATGGTTCGGCCATTTGAGGAGAGTCGAACGGATTTTTCCAGTGGCAGAGTGGTTGGAACTTCGTCAGCTTCGACCACCCTGGGTACAGAGGCCAAGAGGCGCCATTTAAAGGGGGTTGCCCTGGCCGAGGATGCAAGAGTTGACGCCTTAGAGCCTGTCTCAACCTTGCAAAAAGTTTGCATGAGGCCGCCGAGTGGGGGTGAAGAGTTGTATCATGTTTTTCCTTGGGTTTCCTCCATCTTAGTTCAAGCAAGCTCCAAGATTGAGTTGCCTTTGCAGTGCACGACCCAGCCCACGGGCGACGTATTTCCGTTGCTCTCTTCCTCGGACGAGCCACTGCTGCTCCCTGTTGATGAGCTCCCTGACGAACTCTTCCTCTTTTTCTTCAGCCTCCTCGAAGCCTTGGCTGCGATTTTCTTTCTTACCTTGGGATCGGGGTCCATCCCTGTGCCAGCGAAGACACTCTTCAGGCTCTTGCGGGCCATTGCTCTCGCTGACACCTTCTTTCTCTCCTCTTCTTTGGGAGACTTGTCCTCTCCTGAGGATCTCCCCCTCTTCCGCTTCTTCTTCTTCTTGTCTCGCTCTTTGCTTCTGCCTCTCTCTGCTCCTTGCTTCTCCTCTCCTTCCTTCAAAGCTTCCCTTGCTCTTGGCACCTCGATCTCGGCCTTCTCTCCTGCCGGTCTCTCTTCGACCAGGTTCATAGCCCAGGCGGGATCTTCCCCAGTCCTCTTCTTGATCTCCTCCCCATGTAGGAGGTTCTCGGCATCCAACATCGCCTCGCAACGGGCCCCGCACAGGTGAATGCGCATCACTTTGACGGCTGTGCCGCTTGCCCACTGCAAGATTGTTTCCGTTGAAGTGCCCTGCAGGTCCACTTCGACCTCTATGTCTTCTCGCTCCCGAATTTGAACGCTCCTCACCAAACCCGCGATCTCGGCGGGAGCCCCCCAGTAACGTCCTGTGACTGTGATGGGAAGGCGTCTTCGAAGCAGCTCCAAGGGGATTGAGGGACATTGTACTGCTTGACCTTCTTCGAACAAGCGTCCTTCTTCTCCTCCTCGCTCTCTCAATGCCTCACGGCCTGCAGGTTCGGCCCCTGCTGGTCGTCGCCTCACTGCTCCTCCCCTCTCTCTGGGAGGTTCCTCTCTTACCTCTCTTCTCCCTCTCACTCTTGCTGCCGGCCTCCTCAATGCCATTGAAGAGCTTGGCACGGACCTGCACTACCGTCTAAAGTAGTACTGGTCTTCCTTCTTCTTTCTGCCCTTATTTGCCCCCCAGTATTGGGGTTCCCTCTGCCACGCTTTGAGCTGACCTGACCAGTAACGACCTGTGGGACGAGCTACTGGCGGTGGTGCTCCTGAACGTCTCGCTACCGGAGGCTGCTTAGGAGGCGGTCCTCCCCTGTCTCTTGGCGGCGATCTTGAAGGTGTCTTCGGTGGCCTCACTGACGGCTTTGCCTTCTTTTCTTTCCCTGCTTCTTCTTTATCCTTCTGTTGACCTCTTCTGGATCGACTGCGTTCTTTCCTTGTCTTCGATCCCCGACTCTTAGATCTGTCTCGGCGTCTCCGACTCCTGCTTCTCTTACGGGACCTGGGTCTTGACGATCGGGTATCTGCTTTCGACTTTGGGCCCTTTGATGAACTCGAGTATTTGCCTTCTTCCTCCTCTGCCTCGATATCAAGCTCCTTGACCCCAGCCTTCTTCGATGCTGGGCTGACTCGGCTCTCCTCCTCTTTCAAGTCAATGGCCTTCTCTTTCCCGCTGACCTCTCTCCCCTTACTGGGAGATTTGGAAGGTAGGCGCGGACCTGCCGACTTGGGTGCTGCGCTCTTGTTGACGATCTCCTTCTGCCTCAGGAGGGTCTCAAACTTCTCGTGCTCCTCCTGGATGATGCCAGTCCAAATCCTAAGATTAGAAATGGCCCAACCTCGAAGCTCCGGAGGAAGATCGTCAAGCACCACCCAGAACCGGTCACGGGCACGGCAAAACGTACACTTGCCGTCCAACTCGGAAGTCACCGTACCGCAAAGGATACAGGACATAAGCTGAGAGCCCAAACCCTTCGGGAGAGAAAGGACTCCACCTAATTCGTCTTAACCCACGAGGACGTAAGTTCATATATACATGATTGTGACTATATTACTATATATGTTACAAGAACACATAACATATACACAATAACATATACACACTTCGTCCTGCAGATTGATGAAAATGTCAGAGTTACCATTGACGCCAATTCCATGAGCAATAGCAACTGTTCCAGGTCGATTGGAAAGGAATGTCCCGCTGTCAGTTTCCTTCCAAGATTGCAAGAGGAAACTGAGGAACCATGTTGACGAAACTGTAGTCAGAATCTGATGAATATTTTGCCACGCGTCATTTGCTGCAATGTCTGGATAAGGATTCTTCACCTGAAAGAACACAGGCCATATGTTTCAATCGTTGGTTGTGACGGTTCAGCCTGGCCTCCGTCTCATTTGGCAGCCAAAGGCCCCACCTTGGGAAAGATCGCAAGAACATCCTGCTGTTGTTGATGTTGATATGTCCAGTTCAAAGCTGTTGCACGAATTGATTGCAAAGTTGTCGGGTGCTGCCAAAGTTGGGGCCGGAACTGCAATACAAAGTCTGAACGATAAAAGTAACAGCCATTGTACAGCCCTTCATCCACCAAACGACCTTACTCTCAGATCTACACGCAGAGTGTTTCCAAAAAAGAACAAAAAGACGACTCTTTCTCTCATCTCATCATGAAAGGATTCAGCAACTGAGCATGCAACAAACATGCTCCACCGTCAAAGGAGCTGAGTCGGGACGTAGGAGCATTGCCACGTTCCCCAAGTCAGTCCTAAGGAGAGAATCACCACAAAAAAAAACAAGAGAAAAAAAGGCAATGACTGTTGTTTGACCTTGTTCCTTCATGCGGCTTAGCTGCTCCAGCAAAAGATACTTCTTTGGTATCAACGAGCTTTCTCTCTGTGCCTCACCAGATATCGCCGAAGCCCCAATCAAAGGTCGCAGCTTGGAAGCTGCCAGCCGGCGTCGGTTTGTCTTGCACCGTCTCGCTGTGAACACCTCAACAACTCTGTACCTGCCTCCAAGTTTGCCGCGTTTGTCTGGCATTTCAATGTCTCTCCCCTACAAGACAATTCACTCATTAATCCCTTGAAGCTAAGACTCCACGGACTGTGCTGCGATTCCAGCAATGCAAGCAGTCATGGAAATTCCCACTCCTCACTGAATCTCTTCTATATGTGGCAATGTCGTGGCGAAAGCCATAAATCATGAAGCAAATTGAACTGAGAGCTTGAGAAACTACACCAGCAGAGTTGTCCACTCCTGGGTTGGGTAGCAAAGGAGTAGCAGGTACCTCTGTGAAAGACAAGAGTAAAATCTGGCACAACCTGTCACAGCAGCCGTGTTGGCCATCCAAGCCTTGAGATCCAAAACTGGGTAGACATTTGCGAAGCACCATGGCACAATACGCATCAAGGAGGAGCTCTCTGTCGGATGAATTGATGGAATGACTTCAGGACTCCAAGAACTGATTGACGTAAAGGCCCTGCAAGGCCCGCAGCGGGGCTGAGGTTGCGTCCATGGAGCCAAAGCAGCTGCCCAGGTCACGGACACTGACATCTCGCCATGCTAGTGTTGCCCCTCTGCTGAGATACCAGCAGCTGCCCTCATGTTCTTGCTGCAACCTCGCATGAAGGGCTTTGCGTACCCATCGTTTTGAAAAACGCATCACAACAGAGCCCTACAATTTGTCTTGGGTTGTATCTTGGTGAACCATATTGTTCTTTGCTGGAAAGCCTATTTGTCACAAGAAAGTGTCTCATGTGTGAACATGTGGGATCAAAGAAGCTCGTATGCAGAACGTGCCAGCACGGCAGCGTAATGCCATGGATGGGATGGAATCGTGCGCAGGTACCATGTGATGTCAAGTCATGCGAGAACGCATGGGGAACAAGTAGTTTCACTTCAAACGGCTTTGGCAAGCATACTTGCTGGGAAGCCCACTCGCTTTGCCTGTCTGCACCGTATAGCGACACACTGACTACACGTTGCCAACGGATGAGGCGTGAAAGGCCTCGCAAAAAGACACTTCGCCAGTGATCAAAGAGGTTTGAAGCGGTTCTGAAGGGCTGAAGGGCCGAGGGGGCTGCAGCTGTATCTTCCCATTGCTTTGTGCTCTCGATTCTCCCTGCAAGTCTCGCGTTCAGGTCTGCATTGAGTCAAGACACTTTACAGTCCACTCCACCACTTTTGCAATCCAGGTGCCTATCCAATTGCTCCAAGCGAACAGCCCGCTTCCGGCGTGCACAGCGGCACCTCAGCAATGATCTTTGCTGAACAGCGACATCCAAGATTCGGCTTCCATCTCCAACGACATCGAGACTTGCAAAGCCTCTCAGGACGACACCGATTCAGGGCTTCCCTGACAGCTGCTGCCATGTCACCAGGATGAATCCGTTGGTCGGTGTCCATGTATCTGTGGAGCCTCTGCAAAGCTTGTTTCCAGCAAAAACTACGGAGCCAATATTCGCAATCAGAGCCTCCAGATTGTGTGGTTAAGTAATAGCTTTGGTGTGTCACACCAGTGTCAACCATGCTAGCAACATCGAGCCACATCTAGCAAGTAGCAAGATCTAGTATAATTCCTTGGGATCTTAGAAGCTGGAGGCCATCGCTATTAGGTTGGAGGCCATCGCTATGAAGTTGGAGGCCATCGCTAGTAGAAGCTGGTGTGTCCCATGCTCTGGAGACCAGGCTCTGTCGGAGCGCCAGTCGGTTCTTCGAGGAAGCGACACGCTCGACGTCGAGCGACTGAAATGCCCCAGAGTCTATCGCTGAGTGTCTGGCGTGTCGCACATGGCAACAAAGAGGTAGTCCTTCTCCTCTTGCGTGCACTGTAGCGTCAGATACTTAAAAAAGACTGATGTTTGGTCATGTGTTTGTTGCTTTTGTCATGTCATCAAGTAGTCACATTTTTGAGTACTATGCCTGATAATTATGCATCCCGTCACTGTGTACCACATTCCATACAATTGAACCCAATCTCGCTTCAGCTAGGAGCCAAGCACATACACGGATCGCTGCTACTGCTACAGTTGGCTGTCCGTCCTGCTTGCTAAGATTGCCAGTGTCCAGCCAAAGACCGTCCTGATCTTCATCGAAGAAGGCCTGGAATCAAGGTGCCAAAGGCAGCAAAAGGGCAAGCAATCTGCCATCCAATCTGTCTGTCCTTTTGCTTGTGTCTCTCCAGCGCCAGCAGGCATTTCTGAAACCGTGACCTTGGAGCCAATTCTCTTTCAATTTTTTAGGAACTATATACTATATAAGGAACCATAGCTCTTCTTGGGATCCGGCATGCGCTCTGGCCAAATGTCAGCTTTCAAATTCAGATGCTTCAGGACCGTGTTCCTTTGACGGCGATAACGCAGTCCCTCACATAGTATAGTACTTGGCCGCAGTGCCATATTATATACTGTGATGGTTTCTTGCTGAAATGGGTTGATAGGGGATTGCATGAAACACAAAAAGCAACCTTCGCACCACATTCACGCAACGATGTCTATCAAAAGGAAATAGGCATTCACCATGTGTTGTCTTCTCATTGAACCCCTGCAAACACTCATTACCCTTTGGTTACCCTTTGGTTATATACTCATTTGAGTACTTGGGCTCACTTGATTTACTGCTTCTCAAGCTTCGCAGCTGTATAGCTCGAGCTCTTTAGCAACAGCTTGGTCGTCAACTTGAACAAGGACATCTCATAAGCAACGAATCTGTAGTATGAACTGGTCATCCACCAATTCAATGGTCGTGATGTTGTAAGCAGTTGTGAACAGGTCACATAATATCATGTACCTGCTGTCTCCAATTCCAAGCAAACCTTCATGTAGAACAAGACCATGAACCATCATAAAGCAACAATGATGGAGCCTTGTGGTATATTGTTGATCCTTCGAGGACCGTCGTTCAAGAGGGTCTTTGTTGTGTGCCTAGGGCCTAGGGAATCAAAAAGAACAATGTCAAACTAGTGTCAGTGTAAAATGCATGTAACATGTTTGGCCTGCGTTTCTTTTAAGTTCATTTTATGCACCCTAATCTAGTTGTTTGAACGCAAGAAACAATGACAGTTCACTGTTCAACCTGCGCTCCTCCAGCTTTGCTAGAGAGATTCGTTCACTTGCAAGGCAACAACAGGACCCAAGAACAACCTGCCTGAACAAACTCCAAATTGCGCACCACAAAAAGGCCGCATGGGTTAGCAAAGGCCCAGCCCTTAGAAAGTCCAAGACTGAACGAATCATTCCAACCCTTGGTTTTGCTTGCTCCACTTCAGTTCTCGACACAAGTAGAATGTCCATGGTCCAATGATTGACGATTTCCTGCAAGGAAAACACAAAGGTTTTTCCAGAAGGCCAAGTGTGTTTCAGCAGCTTTCCTCGAAGAACTCTCCGGACAGTTCCTGAACAACACAAGACACTTGGCAAAAGCAGGAGCCGTTGGTTTTTAGATCAAACTGCGAAAACTGTTCCATTCCAGCCAGAAATAGAATTTTGTCAGGTTCCTTCCAAATGCAGAGGGGGCGACCTTTTTTTTCGAGATTTTTTTTCCGACGCGTTTTGGGAATGTTTTTCCGCATTGTTTGTGGTCAGGGGTCGCCACAAAGAAAAAAAGAAAGAGAACTAGAGCAGGAGGCAAGGGACAGAAGAGTAGAAGGAGAAGGAGAAAAAACTAGCATAGGAGGCAAGGAACGGAAGAGTAGAAGGATAAGGAGAAAAAGGAAAAGGAGGAAAAGAGGGAGGAAGAGAAGGAGAAGGAGAAAGAGAAGGAGAAGGAGAAACAGAAAGACAGAGGAGAGAGGAGAAGGAACAAGAGAAGGAGAAGGTTCTTCCCACTGCATCCTTGCAGGTCACAACACAGTGCACACCAGCCATGTGAGAATGGTAGTGCTTACCGGTAAGTCTGAAATATATAAATGTATGTCCATGCATGCATGTGTATATCTATGTACGTGTATGTATGTAAGTTTGTCTATGTATGTATGTATGTATGTATGGATGGATGCATGCATGCATGTATGTATGTATGTATGCGCTTGGTTGTTTCCTTGGCTGTCGTGATGCGCTGTAGCAATACCATCAATTAAAAAAACGCAGGAGGGGGGGTCGCAGCTCCTTCCGTGCAAGGAAACAATGTATATTGAGCATCCCCGCGCTGAAAAACCAATCACCAAGAGTTGTTTGTGCCCAGGTCCATTTTTCTGTAAAGTGTTTGAGGGTCAAATGTTTTGCAGGCCAGTCGCTTGCAAACTGGTTTGCTGATTCTGCTTTGAGTGATCTGCTTAAATTCAAAAAGCATGAAGGGGTGCGGGGGAGGGCGCGGCGCCTCACCCGCAAAAAAAAGTATAGTGAGCATCCCGGCACTGACCCT